CCCGTCGCACAACCACACGTGGTCCCAGACACCCCATCACACACGTGCCCACCCACATGTGGTCGCAGACACCCCGTCACACACATGCCCATCCATGCATGGTCCCAGACACCCTGTCACGCACGCACACAGCCACGCATGGTCCCAGACACCCTGTCACACACACACATCCACGCGTGGTCCCAGATATCCCGTCACACAACCACATGTGGTCCCAGACACCCCATCACACATGTGCCCACCCACATGTGGTCCCAGACACCCCGTAACACACTTGCACACCCACACATACTCCCAGATACCCCATCACACATGCACGCCCACACGTGGTCCCAGACACCCCGTCACACACGTGCACACCCACACATGCTCCCAGACACCCCGTCACACATCCACACATGGTCCCAGACACCCCGTCACCCACACGCACACCCACACGTGGTTCCAGATGCCCTGTCACACATGTACACATCTTCATATGGTTCCAGGCCATGCACACGTACATCAGCATGTTGTCCCGGGTACCCAAACCTCCGTGGCACCCCTGCATGTCGTTTCAGACGCTCCACTGTACGTGTCTATGTGTAGTCCCATGTCCCCAGTTGTACACTTGTACACATACACATACGTGCATGATTCTGAACACCCACTGGTGATGCACCCAGCTGGTCCCACAGTCACACACGTCCACTCGTGGTTCTGCATGCCTAGCCATGTCCATGCACACAACACCCCTCATACACAGTCCTGCAGAGACACGAAGCTTGTCCGTGCGGAGCCCTAGCTGCCCCATCATACAGGTGCATGCACGCTCCTGGACACCCAGTGTAGGTGTTCACGTGCCCGGTCATATACGTTCACACACGTGTGTGGTCCTGGGTATGGCGGTCATGGTGTGCACATGCCTGCATGCTCTTGAGACACTCGTCACGTGACACTTGCAGGCACCATCCCTAAATACCCTGTCACGACTTCACTGCATGTTTGGTCCTGGACACCAGTCACGCGTGTTCACATACGTGCGTGACTGTGGATGTTGTCTTGTGTGGCGTGCTCATGCATGATCCTGGACACCCAGTTGCATGCACCTGCACAGCGTGTCATACCCAGTCATACACGTGTGCACACACGCCTGTACACACATGGTTCGGGGTTCTCAGTCCTGCACGTCTGTGTGTGGTCACATGCACGCACAGTCCCTTCCCCATCTGCTGGGACGCAGAGGCCTGCTGTGTCCATTCAGTGTCTACATCGTCCACTCACCCAAACCCTCACTTGTCCTCCCCCCCATGAAGTAAACGCAAGGACTCGGAGCCTCGTACCAAATGCCTCCTGAACAACGCTGACCTGGCCCCCCATCACCCCAAGGACCCCGTGGAGATGAGACGCATTAACTTCCAGACACCAGGTACACACTCCTCTGACACCGGGCAGGCCCGCTGCCTGGGAGTGGCTTGGGGGACGAGGAAGCTGCCCATTGCCTGAGCCCACTCATCTGCTCGCGCCCTCAGGGGGTCGGGGCTCCCCGCACGGGTTGGTTCTACGTACAGCCGAGTTGGACTTTGGAAAAGCTGTGTTTCTCTGGCGGCTGATGTTGTCTTTGGGACCTCGAAGGGCATCTGAAAACAGAAAACGCTTCTTGCAGGAAGCACTGGGTTCCTGTTGAAGCTCCTAGTCTTAGGGCCACTCAGGGATGGCTTCAGAGGCTTCTCCTCGGGCAACTTCTGTTCCCCCTGGAAAGAGCCAGTGGGAGGCCCTGAGGCCCCCGCACCCACCCCTCTCCTGCCCCTCCCCACCTCCCACTCCTCAGAGCTCCGGGCGGGAGAGTGGGATCAGAGACTGAGCCTTGATGTCTTCAGGGACAAAGCCCCGGCTCTTCCCCATCTCACCCCATCCTAATGGGCTCCTGCCGGCTGCTTCTCACCAAATGAGGAATCGATTTAACTGGTGGCTGACAGCTCCCTGTGGGCTCACAGCTCGCTTCCCTCCGCCCCTCCATTGGCACCCCAGTCTCACCTCTTTGTTTCTGAACTGGTTCCAAGCGGTTCTGTTTCCAACTAACAGAGGGTCACAAACCTGTAGTTGACACCACCGTCACCCCGATGCATGAGCCCACTTGTCACCCCTAATGGCCGCCTCTCTCTCCTGTCTCGTGGCTGGCTCACGTCAGTTCTGTTTCCATCCAGATGCGACCTTTAAATGTTTGCGTCTAACTGACGGCTGCTCTCCTGCTTAAAGGAGGACACCCTTGGTGTCCACCTCATTTCTTTCCTGTCTCTGACTCGTGTCAGTTCTGTTCGTTCCCGAGCGATTGTTGTAAATGTGTTTATTTAACTTCTGTCTGCAGACCTCCTCAAGGGCTCATGCATGGTCGTAAACTGCCATTTCTAACACCCTGTCCTTCCTGTCTCTGCCCTTGATCCTTCCTCTTCTGTTTCCATCCCACCAAGGACTGGAAACATTTGCACTTAGCCAGTGGCTGCTCTTCTTTAAACTCATGGCATGGGCCCCGTTCCCTGCCCCACACCCTGCTTTCTCCCTCATTGTCTGCGTCGTCCTCCCCCAGACCCCCCTGGGCTGGGCCAGCAGGGCCCCTGAGGCCAGGCTGTGCTGGGGGAACGTGTGGACAGAAGAGCCAAAAGCTTTGGGGGGGTCTCGGGTTTAAGTTGCTGCGCGCTCTGCATCTGCCGGCCGACTGCTCCGCGCGCACCCAGAGAGGGGCGGGGCGGCGTGTTTTCATTTATTTATTGTTTGCTGTTTCTGCAGATTCAGGCCTCCGCAGCCCCCTCAGGGAGCCGGGGTCTCACTCTGAAAGTTAGTTCCTGTGTCTCTCTGTTCTCGGCTTCCTTTCGCCCCCACTCCCCGTTTGTTTTCATCCCCGGTCGCTCCATCCCACCCTGTCTCTGTCTGCGTGTCCACCCCAGCCAGCCTCTGCCCACGTGTCCCACGCTGGCTTCTCAGGAGGGTGGGGCCTGATCTGCTGGCCTTGGAGGGGATGGGTTGTGGCTGTGTGTGTGTGTGTGTGGTGCACGTGTGTGAGCAGAGCAAGACGTAGGTACCCAAGAACAGGTGCCTACCTGCATGTAGTCAGGGCACTAGATGTCAGCTGTCTGGGGAGACAGGATCCTGGAGTCCCCTTAGCTGTAGGTCCTTGGGTAGAATCTGGGGTGTAGGAGGCTTTGAGGGGGCTCAGAGCAGGCGTTCTTTACCATCCAGCCCTGAAGTCTGTAAAGGGCCCTGGTACAGCAGCCGAGCTGTCGGCTGGTATTGGAAAGGTTCCCAGTTCAGGGTTACCTGTCTCTCAGTGGCTCCATGATGCTCCGTAAAGATGGTGGCCTCGAAGCCGGCCCGTGCAGCTCTGTTCTGTCACGGGGTCACTGTGTGCAGCTGACTCGGCCACTGTTCCCACCTGGTCCTCTCGTGCTGGAACCTTCTCCCTTCTTGACGTCCGCTCATGTGTCAGGCGTGGAGTGGGAGCACACAGCCAGGGGCCTGGTAGAGGCCAGGGCATCAGCTGAGCCGGGTTTCAGAAAAGGAAGCAGGTTCCCACACTGGGGCTCCCACAAGATGAGGGAGCACTGAGGCTGGGAGTTCAGGGGTAGGTGGGGGCTGCCCCTACATCCCCTGTGTTCCCCCGGTCCCTCTAGAGGGGAGGGAAGGGAGTCAGCTGCACCCTGCCCTGGTGGGGTGGATGCAGGCAGGACCCCGAAGGCCAGCCCACCCACTGCATTTGCTTCATCCGTCTCTGTCCCACCCGCCCGCTTCTCACCACCAGGCACCGGGAGCTTCAGGCATCCCGGGACCCTTCACGGGCCCGGGCTGGGGGCACTGGGGTGCGCAGCCTCACTCCCATCTTCAGCCCCGGCCCCAGCGTGAGCTGCCCCCCCGCTGGCCTGCCCGCCACGCCCTCTAACCGCTCTCCATCACCGACTCACACTGTGACTCAGCCCGGGCCTCAGGTGACCAGCAGAGTGACCGCGGCCCCGGCCACACTGTGTCCCCGCAGGTATGCTCAGCCACCCGCCGATCCCCATCACGGACATGGCGGAGCACACGGAGCGCCTCAAAGCCAACGACAGCCTCAAACTCTCTCAGGAGTACGAGGTGAGCCAGCCTGCCGACCACCTGCCCGCACACTTCCGGACTCCCCGGGACCCACCCTGACACCCCCTTTCTGCCCCCGCCCCCACAGTCCATCGACCCCGGGCAGCAGTTCACGTGGGAACACTCCAACCTGGAAGTAAACAAGCCCAAGAATCGCTACGCCAACGTCATTGCCTATGACCACTCCCGTGTCATCCTCCAACCCATCGAAGGTAACCCCACAGCCCCCGCCGAGCCTCTTGTGGGCAGGCTGGGGCCAAGGGGGGGCAAAAGAAGCTGTATTCACAGGCCTAGTCCAGGAACATTTAGAATATATAACTGATGAGCACCAATGATCTTTAACTGCATTTTTTTGGGGGGGCGGAGTGACCCTCTGCTGTGTTTCTTTTTTTAAAAAATTATTTTTAATTTCAATGAAAATTTACAGAGACTTTGGATTTCCATTCATTCATTGTTGCGCTTTTCTTCCCACCCACTTCTCCTCCCCCAGTACACTACCCTCTTTGAAAAGTAAAAGAAAAATTCTTTCATTGTTTGACAATCCCTCCCCCCAGGTCCATTCCATTATGCTGCCTTCATTCTGGACTCCTGTCATGACAATAATACCCAATCATATATCCCTTTTAAACAGTTCTCTCCCTCATGTGTTTCAGTGCAGTATACATTGTTTATCCCCTTTCTCAGTCTCCCCCCAACCCCGATGTGACTCAGTGCTGTTTTACAACAGTGGCACCATGCAGTATTTGTCATTTTGTGACTGTAACTATATATTTAAAGGGTGATCACTGTCCAGAACTTGGTGACGTCTGTCCCTCTAGATTGGTTGTTTGCAGTCTGGTTTTGCGCTTCTCGGGAGACGTGTCTGGGGAGTATCTGTGGTTGTCACAGCTAGGCGGAGTTGGGGTGCTGTGGCATTGAGTGGGTGGAGCCCCCCGATGCTGCTCTGCGCCCTGCAGAGTGGACGGCCCACCCCAGAGAAAGAGCCGACCCCACGCTGCCAGCAGTGACCAGGGCCTGTGGACACTGAAGACACGCCAGCCCTGGGGGAGGTTGAGGCTGTGAGAGAGGGCTCCCTGGAGGTGGGGAGACAGCAGCATCCTCTGATCCACTCACCCTGGTGCAGGCATCGTGGGCAGTGATTACATCAACGCCAACTACGTGGATGGTTACCGGCGGCAGAACGCCTACATCGCCACTCAGGGTCCGCTGCCCGAGACCTTCGGCGACTTCTGGCGTATGGTGTGGGAACAGCGCTCGGCCACCATCGTCATGATGACACGGCTGGAGGAGAAGTCACGGGTGAGCCCGGCCCTGTGCCCCTGGACCCTGCTCACCCCTGGACCCTGCTCACCCCAGACCCCTGCTTACCCTAGACCCCTGCTCACCCTCCCCTGCACCCTGCCCCCAGCTCCTCCTCACCCCCAGCCTTTCCACCCATCCCAGCACTGCCCCTGACCCCTGCTCACCCTTGATCTCTGCACCACCCCAGCCCCTGCACCCCCAGCACCTACCCACCTCTGGCCTCTGCTCACTCCCGGCTCACCCCTACTCACCCCTGGCTTCTGTACTTGCCCCAGCACACCCCCAGCCCCTCCACCACCTCTGGCTCCTACTCACCCCTGGCTCCTGCACCCCCAGCCTCTGTGCCAGGCCTAGCTCCTGCACTCCCGGCCCTTGTGCCAGTCCAGGCCTCTGCATCCCCAGCCCCTGTGCCAGTTCTGACCTCTTCACATCGGGCCCTGCACTCTCAGTCACTGCTCACCCCTGGCTCCTGTACCCCGGGTCCCCATGCCTGTCCTGACCCCTACACGCCCGGCCTTGCACCAGCCTGACCCCCACTCACCCCCTCCCATCTTCTCACTATAGATCAAATGTGACCAGTACTGGCCCAATAGGGGCACGGAGACCTACGGCTTCATCCAGGTCACACTGCTGGACACAATCGAGCTGGCCACGTTCTGCGTGAGGACCTTCTCACTGCACAAGGTGGGTACCCCGGGACCTGTGAGGGGACAGGAGGCGCTGACACATGGTCCCGCGGTCATATCTTTATGTAGCCCCCTTCGCTGATGGGGAGACTGAAACTCAGCAGGGCGGCTCTTCCCCTTAGCCACGGCCTGCCCTCACCTGCCCCCAGCCTTTCCTGTTTGTTGTTGTTGTTTCTGTTAGGGGCCATCAGGCTGACCTCAGCGACTGCAGCGCATAGCGACCCTGTGAACAGCAGATCTGGACCCTGTGCCCTCCTGCACTGTCCTCATTGTCTGTGACACACTCGGGTCCGTTGCTGCCAAAATTGTCAGTCCACGTTAGGTCCTCCATTGACCTTTCTTTCTTTCTTTTTTTTTTAAAATGTCAACCTCACCTGGCAACAACTCGGGCTTTCCAGAACCAGCACCACACCAAGCCCTTGCCGCACCCCCCCTCCCCAATCCCACAGGGCCTGGGAGCTAGGGATGGGAGGGACGGAGCGGTCCCACCCCAAGACTCTTCTTCACTCTAAGCCCCATGGGCCTTTACTCCCTTTACTCCTGGAAGCTGCTAGGCGAGTGCTGGCCAGCTGCGCACTGAACGGGCCCCAGCAGGAGGCCGTAGATGAAAGGAGGGTATCAGTAGTCTTAGTTTATCTTTTTGTCACTGGCTGGTTAAGTGTTTATTAAGCCTGATCAGGGCCCCAGCACAGAGGGGACCGAAACCGGCCACTGGCTGCTGTGGTGCTTATAATCGAGTGGGCAGGCCCACGGACCACCTTCTTGGTGACACGGTGACATGCACCCTTCCAGGAGAGGAGAGAAAACCAAAGCCAATAATCAGCAGTGGGGGTGGGCTCAGGAGAGGTGGGAATGGGGAAGAGCCTTCCGGAGGCAGGAACAGCCTGTGCAGGCAGGAACAGCCTGTGCGGAGGCCCAACTGGCCTGGCAGGTGGGCGGGGTTGTGAGGAGGTCTGTGTGGTTGGAGCAGAGCGAACAGGGTGGTCTGTGGGCTGGGAGAGGACTGTACCCCAGGACAGAAGAGGAGCCAGGGGGAAGCTGTGGCCAGAGGGACTGTTCTGACAGCTGCTCACAGGCTGTCCCCAGGGAATCACTAGGGGCCTGGGGTCAGGGACCAGGCAGAGGCCACTGCTGTGGTCCAGGTGGGCGATGACAGAGCTGGACCAGGTGAAGGATCAAGTGGACGAGTTTAGGGAAGAATGTGAGCGCTGGTGTGACTTGGGGGAGGGGAGGGCAGTGGTGATCTCCACGTGGTGGTCCAGTGCCTGCAAAGGTCCTGCTCACCCAGGGAAGGCCGGAGTGCTGGGCCTTGTGAAGGGACACCCTCCCCACATGGACTCATCCTGTGACACCCCCCCCCCAGAACGGTTCCAGTGAGAAGCGTGAAGTCCGCCAGTTCCAGTTCACAGCGTGGCCAGACCACGGGGTGCCCGAGTACCCCACACCCTTCCTGGCATTCCTGCGGAGGGTCAAGACTTGCAACCCCCCAGACGCGGGCCCCATCGTGGTGCACTGCAGGTGGGCAGCCAGGCCCCCGTCTCCCAGCCCCGGCCACCCTCAGGGCACCCACACACACACTCGGCCCCCCTGAGTCCCCCAGCCCCACGCACGCCCCACTGGCCCCTCCCTCACCCAGTGGTCTCCCCCCGCAGCGCCGGTGTGGGCCGCACAGGCTGCTTCATCGTCATCGACGCCATGCTGGAGCGCATCAAGCCAGAGAAGACGGTAGACGTGTACGGCCACGTCACACTCATGCGGTCCCAGCGCAACTACATGGTGCAGACGGAGGACCAGTACAGCTTCATCCACGAGGCCCTGCTCGAGGCCGTGGGCTGCGGCAACACCGAGGTGCCCGCCCGCAGCCTGTACGCCTACATCCAGAAGCTGGCGCAGGTGGAGCCCGGCGAGCACGTGACGGGCATGGAGCTGGAGTTCAAGGTGCGGGGGCCGAGGCCAGGGTGGAAGGTTGTCAAAGGGTTGAGGCCTAGAAGGAGGGTTATTCAGGGGGCGGGGCCTGGGTGGAGGGCGTCTCCCAGGGCATGTGGCCTAAGGTGGAGGGGCACCCAGGGGCGGGGCCTGGGTGGAGGGTTGTCAAAGGGTTGAGACCTTGATGGAGGCTTATTCAGGGGGTGAGGTTTGGATGGAGGGGGGTCCCCAGGGCATGCTGCTTAGATAGAGGGGTGCTGAGGGCAGGGCTTAGATAGAGGGGGTGCCAAGGGGGCGGGGCCTAGAAGGAGGGGCGCTCTCAGGGCGTGTGGCCTAGATGGAGGGGTCCTCAGGGAGCAGGGCTTAGATGGAGGGGCGCCCAGGGGTCAGGGCCTGGGTGGAAAGGGTCTCTCAGGACACGTGGCCTAGTTGAAGGGTGTTCTCAGGGGGTGGGGCCTGGATGGAAGGGGTTGTGCCAAGGGGGCGGGACCTAGATGGAGGGTCCTCAGGGGGCAGGGCTTAATGGGCGGACGTCTACAGGGTAGGGCCTGGATGGAAAGGGTTTTTCAGGACATGCTGCCTAGGTGGAGGGTTTTGAGGGGGCAGGGCCTCAGGGAGGGACTGGGTCCTTGGCACCCATCCCCCCTGTGAATGAGCTGACCACTGATGGCCTGTGTTTCTCCCACTTTTCACTCTGGGGTGAGACCTCTGTCAAAGAGGGTGACTCAACATGCCCTCCGCCTCACTAACTTGACAGGCACCTGGGACCAACACAGGTCCAGGGGTTAGGAATCCCATGCAGTCCAGGTGGGGGGCCTCCTGGTGGCGCAGAGGGTAAGCATTCAGCTGCTAACTGGCAGGTCAGTCTGGTTGGAAGTGGGCTCAGTGGCAGCGGGTTCGTGTGTCCAGGGCCTGTGGTCCGGAGATCATTGTGACTCACGGCGACTCCACCGCACACGAGGGTTCCCAGGCCCTGGTGGCACCGTGGGCAAAGCCTGGCGCTGCTCACTGACATGTGGGTGCTTCGAGTTCACTCGCTGCTCGTCAAAGGAGACATGAGGGCGTCACCCCCAGAACAACGGCAGCGTTCATGGGGCAGTTCTGCTCCATTCTCCTGGGCTCTGGGGCTCAGTCTGCTTGACCCAGTGATGTGGCAACTTTGGGGAACAAATTTCAAGCCACCACAGCCATCCTGATGTGTCTCCTCTCCTGTTCCCGCAGCGGCTGGCCAACTCCAAGGCCCACACATCCCGTTTCATCAGTGCCAACCTGCCTTGTAACAAGTTCAAGAACCGCCTGGTGAACATCATGCCCTACGAGAGCACGCGGGTGTGTCTGCAGCCCATTCGCGGCGTGGAGGGCTCCGACTACATCAACGCCAGCTCCATCGACGGCTACAGGTGCCCGCCTGCCTGAGGGACCCAGCGCAGCTCGTGTGGGAGGCAGCGCTGGGCAGATGGATGCCCCGGGGCTGGGCAGGCTAGACGGAAGGATGCCCCTGAAGCTATACAAATAGATGCATCAGGGCTGGGCAGCTGGACCTACTGATGCCCCTGAGGCTGGATAGATGTCCCTGAGGCTAGACAGATAGATGCTTCTGAAGCTGAGCAGGCTAGACAGACAGAGGCCCCAGGGCTGGGCAGGCTGGACAGAGGGATGCCCCTGAAGCTAGATAGACAGATGCCCCTGGTGCTGGGCAGGCTGGACAGAGGGATGCCCCTGGGGCTGGGGTGAAGTGATTGTTCCCACACGGGGACATTGTGGTGTCACAGCTGTCAGGAAAGGGGACCACGGCATCGAGTGGATGGAGGCAAGGATGTTGTTCAACATCACACAGCACTTGGGGTCCCTGCCCCGGAGGGATTTTGCTCTCAGATGTCCACAGTGGACAGTTAAGGGACACTGGCCTTGGGGAAGTCTTCCTGGGCAGAGCGACAGGGCCTGGGAGTCAGGGAGCACTCGAACTTTCGAGTACTGGCTGTCACTGAGGGACAGTCAGAGCATGAGGTGGATGAGGGGGACAGGCGAGGAGATAGAGCTTGCAGCTCGTGGTTTGGAACCTCCGTAGGGGTGGCTGGGGGCGGGGACAGTGCAGAGAGGAGGCTGTGGCTGTCATGCATGGAGCCCTGGCTCGGCCCTGACCAGTCACAGCCCCGGGCTGGTCCCGTGGGGGCCTGGCTCACACATCCCACCCTTCAGGCAGCAGAAGGCCTACATCGCCACCCAGGGGCCACTGGCGGAGACCACGGAGGACTTCTGGCGGATGCTGTGGGAGAACAACTCCACCATCGTGGTGATGCTCACCAAGCTGCGCGAGATGGGCCGGGTGAGCGCGTGGCCGTGGGGCGGGCTGCGGATGGGGGCGGGCCGGCCTAGGGGTGACCAGTGGGGGCGGGCCGGCCTAGGGGTGACCAGTGGGGGCGGGCCGGCCTAGGGGTGACCAGTGGGGGCGGGCCGGCCTAGGGGTGACCAGTGAGGGCGGACCGGCCTAGGGGGTGACCAGTGGGGGCGGGCAGGCTAAGGGTGTCCAGTGGGGGCGGACAGGCCAAGGGTGACCAGTGGGGGCGGACAGGCCAAGGGTGACCAGTGGGGGCGGGCAGGCTAAGGGATGGCCAGTAGGGGTAGGCCCGCCAAGGGGTGACCAGTGGGGGCTGGCCGGCCAAGGGTGACCAGTGAGGGCAGACAGGCCAAGGGGTGACCAGTGGGGGCGGACAGGCCAAGGGTGACCAGTAGGGGTGGACATGCCAAGGAGTGACCAGTGGGGGCTGGCCGGCCAAGGGGTGACCAGTGGGGGCGGACAGGCCAAGGGGTGACCAGTGGGGGCGGACAGGCCAAGGGGTGACCAGTGGGGGCGGACAGGCCAAGGGGTGACCAGTGGGGGCTGGCTGGCCAAGGGGTGACCAGTGGGGGTGGGTAGGCCAAAGGGGGGGCCAGTGGAGACAGGTTACAGGCAAGCTGGGTGGACTGGTGGGGGCAGACTGCAGAGGGTCGGGCAGGCCAAGGAGGGATAGGCTGTGGATGGGGCAGGTAGGCCGGGGGGGGCAAAGCGGGGGAGGCTGCAGAGGTGAGCCAATGGGACAGGCTGCTGGTGGGGGCGGGCAGGCAGCCAGGGGAGCAGCAGGCTGAAGATGGAACGGGAAGGTCAAGGGGTGGCCAGTGGGGGCAGGCTGCACATGGGGGTGGGCAGGCCAGTGGAGGCAGGCTCCGGGCAAGCAGGGTAGGCCGCAGGTCAGGCAGGCTGCAGAAGGGGGTGGGCAGTCCGAGGGTCGGGCCAGTGGAGGGGGGCTGCAGGCAAGCGGGGCGGGCAGTGGGTGAGGGGAGGGGAGACGACAGGGCAGACAAGCACGGCCAGGATCCCAGACCCCAGCAGGGCTGACCACGGCCACTGTCTGCTCCGCAGGAGAAGTGTCATCAGTACTGGCCAGCCGAACGTTCCGCCCGTTACCAGTACTTTGTAGTGGACCCCATGGCGGAGTACAACATGCCTCAGTATATCCTGCGGGAGTTCAAGGTCACAGACGCCCGGGTGAGTGTGGGCTTACCCTGCAGGAAGGGCTGGCGGCAGCTCCAGTGAGCTTACAGCTCCCTCGGTGACCCGGATAGAGCTTCTGTGGTTGGTGGGGGAGGCAGAGAACTGGGGCCAAAGAGGAAGAGGGGTGAGTTGACCAGTTGCTCCACCTACCAAGTACATGAGGACGCTCTGGTGGCCTAGTGGTAAGAAGCTGCACTGCGATCCCAAAGGCACATGGTTCAAAGCTTCCAGCCGCACCAAGGAAGAAGGATGGGCAGTCTCCTCCCGGGATTCACTGCCTCTGAAAACTCACTTGAGGGTCAGCTGTGGGTCGGTTCCGACTCGATGGCACAGGACACCAACCAAGGACATGGGAGAGAGTTCAGACACGTATCTGTCAGGGCCCCCCTCGAGCCTGTGAGACCAAGACCACCTCGGCTATTCAGAAAGGAAGTGAAAAGGGCATTTTCTTGGATGGAACTGTGGCTTGAGGAAGAGGTTGGGGTTAAGAGGGGCTGAAGTGTGGGGCAGGTGTGAGATTCGTGGGTGGGTGCTGGAGTGAGTAAGGATGGTGGACAGAGGAGGGTAGTGGGAGGACGGATGGTGACAATGACGACAGTGGAAGGTGTCGGAGAAGTTAATAGTGGGCTGGGCTGGTGGGGGATGGTACTGTCGATGACACCAGGGAGGGTGACCTCACTGTGACAGGTGGACAGCACTCACTGTACTGGTGCTGTGTGTGGTTCAGGATGGGAAGGTGGATACTGAGAGTTGGGGATGGAAAAGCAGTGAAAGATGGGATGCTGGGTGGTGGTCTGGAGGGTCCAGGAAAGCAGGCGAACAGCCAGGAAATGCCAGCAGAACACGTCCGTGTGAGTGGGTCAGGCGGGTTTGGACAAAGGGCCGAACTCTGACCAGCAGGAGGCGGGGAACACCTGGCTAAGATGCCGTCGTTGGCTGGCTAAGCGTGGTGGAGGAGGGTGAGAACAGTGGCGCCGTTCTGGTGGTGGGGACGGGGCAAGTGATGGGCGAGGAAGGGTGGACATGTTGGTGGAAGATGAACCGCGGGCAGGGATATTATCAGGTGGATGCCGGAAAGCTGGAAGATGCCAGCTCAGTGGCATTGGGCTCGGAGAAGAGTTCCAAGATGAGGGGCAGTGAGTGATGCGATTGGGGAGGCGGTATTAGTGGAAGAGCGCTGAACAGCCCGTGGATGGCCAACAGAGAAAACAAGTATGTCTCGGACAAAGTGCAGCCAGAATGCTCTTTGGAGGCAAAGATGATAAAGCTTTGCCTCACATACTTCAGCCCCTGTGAAGGGCTATGCCTCGGAGAGCGACATGGTCCTCGGAAAGGCAGAGGGGCCGTAAAGGAGAGAAAGACCCTCAACTAGATGGATTGAGACAGTGACTGCTGCAGTGGGCTCTAGTGTGTCGGGAAGTGTGAGGATGGCGCAGGACAGGACAGAGTTCAGATCTGTTATTCTAGGGTCTCTGTGGGGTGTATGTGACAAAATAGCACCTAACAACAGTGACAACACTGAGTGGAAGAAAATGAGGAGAGCCTGAAGCAGTTGCTGCAGAAGGTCAAGGACTGTAGCCTTGAAAAAAATACTGCAGCTCAATATTAGTAAAACAAAAATTCTCACCACTGGGCCAATTGGCAGCATCATAATAGATGGAGAAGTGATTGAGACTTAACAATTTCATCTTACTCGGATCCACAATCAACACTCTTGGCACCAGCAGTCAGGAAATCAAAAGATGAATTGCTTTAGGAAAGTCTGCTGTCAGGGACCTCTCCAGAGTGCGGAAGAGCAATGATGTCAGTCTAGAAACTAAGGTGTGCCTGACTCAGATCATGGTCTTATCAGTTGCTTGTTATGCATCTGAGAGCTGGACAGTGACTAAGGATGACAGAAGCATTGATCTGTTTGTTATGGTGCTACAGAAGAGTATTGAACACACCATTGACTGCCAAGAGAACAAACAGGTCTGTCCTGGGGAGGGTAAAACCAAACTGCTCCTTGGAAGCTAGGAATTTGAAGCTCCATCTCATCTACTTTGGGGCATGTTGCCAGGAGGGACAATACTTTGGAGAAGGACGTCATGCTTGGAAGGGTGGAGGGACAACGCAGGAGAGGAAGACCCTGGAAGAGATGGATTGACACAGTGACTGGGGGCAGGTGTGTCAAGAGGCAGGTTGGTTCAGGACAGCAGGGTTCAGAGCCATTGTTCATAGGGCCACCGTGACTCATGGTCGACTCGATGGTAGGTAGCAACAACTCAGTGGAGGAGGACAGCCCATCCTGGTGATAGGCTTTGGGACTGAGAAGGGGACGGGGAAAGGCTGTACTCAGGGATGGGTGAGGTGGAGGGTGGGACTGGGGACGGGGGGGCGGAGAAAGTGCGGTGTGAGGAGGTCGGTGGTGGTGGCACCATCCCTGCGTGCTCGAGCTGCCATGACAGAATTGTCCTAAGTGTGTGACTTTGAGGGACAGACTGTCTCACAGCTCAGAGGCTGGGGGTCCACCTCAGCTCGCCTCCCCCCTGCGCCTCTGTTTGTTTAAGGGTCACCACGGTCATTGGCCTCCCTCAGCCTCTGTTCTGCTCTTTTTTATAACTCAGAAGAGTTTTTATAACAAAACAGGGAACACGTTCTTTACAAACCTGGCTCTATTTTTAGACACAGGAATGAGGATTTCATCATGTGTTTTGAGGGGATGGGATTCAGTCTCTGGCATTTGCCCCATTGTTTTTGTTGTTGTTGTTGGGCACCCTGGAGTTGTCTGTGACTCACGGCCTCTCCCCTCTCCCTGAGCAGCTGCTCTGAACCTTGCTGCATCCTGTGCCGCCCTCAGGCCCTCTGTCACGCCCACTCTGGACATCTATCTCGCCGAGGGTCTCGCGCTCCTTTGCCGACCTTCTGCCTTCCCAGCGTGATGTCTCTCACCAAGGATTGCTTGCTTCTTCCTGCAAACATGTCCAGAATGAGGCGGGGTTCCTCCATCCTTGCCTCTAAGCAGCGCCCGCTGCACATTCCCTGGGCAAGACTTGGTTCTTCTCCGGGCAGTTCACAGAGAGTCAGTCTTCTTCTCCAACACCTGGGACTCTGGTCATCTAGTCGTGAGAATCTCAAAGGCGACAGTTCAAATCCACGGGAGAAAGATGGGCAGTTTCTTCCCATGCGGGTTGCCTCTGCACACCCACGGGAAGATCAGCCGTGAGTCGGTTCTGATCTGACAGAAGAGAACAACTCCACCACCCAGTTCAAAGCCTCACTTCCTCTTGGATCATCCTGATCCCTGTCCGACTCCCAGAGGCCTAGGAAGCCGTTGAAAAGACCGTGGCTCGGATCAGGCACGTCGTTGCCCAGGAGCACGCCAGAGCGGCCCTTGACCACAGCTTGCCCCATGCTTGTTGTTGTTGTTATGTGCCGTCGAGTCGTTTG